TGTACCTCAAGAAGATTTGATTCTGAGGGAAAAAGAGCCCATGAATTAAATTGCACAATGGACATAACTGCTGCAAATAACCCTTGTTCAGAGTTCTGTGTTGTGGGAATCACTTTGGCAGAAATCACCGGAACCTACAGATGCTAATCCTTGCCAGAAGCGCAGCAGTGACCTGGCCACAACTAGCTTTGGTGCCCAACGATCCCACGCAACCCTTTCATCTTTTCCTGTCCTGAGTGACACCCACACCTGATGGAACCCGAAGTCATGGACTAATGGACATTTTGCCAAGATGGTCCACAGACTAAGGAAATGATATCTGTGTGGGATGGGAAAGGGGGAGCAGATTAGTGAGAATTTATGGAATAGCGTGAGACTTAAGTATGATGTAAATGGTATGAAACATGGGGTGAACACGCTGGTTTCAGGCAGGAAAGTTAATTTTCTACACAGCCACAGTCAGCTGGTGAAGGAGTATTTCATTCCTTAGTATGTCATGCTTAGTACACATGCACAGTACTTAAGCAGGAAGGGGCCTGGGGAGAGTCATTAAGATTTTGTCTAGCTTGATAGATTCTCAGCTCTTTTGTTAGCTCTTAGTGAGGTGGGTTCATTTGTTAGTGGGTTGGTGAGTTGGCTGGCTTTTTCTCCGGTCTGTTGTTGTCCTGGGGCTCTGGTTTGGGGTGTGGGGGATGAGGGGAGGGGAGGGGGGTATTTCGGGCTCAGACTGTTCCTAATCAGGACCTGGCTGTATTGGTCAGCAGGTGGTGAGCAGTTATATCGTATGTTCTATTTTCTATTATTTTAATTACTTATTATTAGTAGTATTGTAGTTTTAGTAGTATCACTATAATTCTCATTTATATTCAATTATTAAACAGTTCTTATCTCAATTTTACAAGCTTCCTCTTTTCCCTCTGACTTTCCTCTTCCACTGGGGAAAAGGAGGGGGAAGGTGTGCGAGCAGCTGAGTGGTATTTACTGCTAGCCCGGGTTAAACCGTGACATTGCTACAGGATACTGTGTATGTTATTTCCGAAGTTACAAGAAATGCAAAATAATATCCACTCCAAAATACAAACAACTATCTGTTTACTGAGAAAGGGTACATATTGAAACAAACAAGAAATGATCTGTGTATTTTTCAGGTGCTATGTCCAGATCTTGCAGCAAATTGTTGTGAAAACCACTGAACATCAAACTTACTTGTGTTGATAAGAAACTGGTTTGAAACCCCAGGATGATCTACATCATGTATTGCACTGGCAAAAATTGCTGCAAGGATCTCCAAATCAGTGAAGACAGCCTAGAAAATCATGAAACAAATGACAATTATTAATCAATGAAAAAGCATTTTCAGTAAAAAGGAGTCTGCTCTGAATCTAAATCTGGAAAAACCACATTTGAAACATATCATGGATCTCAAGAGCTTTTACACATAGACTATCAAAACCTTTTGTAAAATTATTATGTAGAATTTCATAAATATTTCAAGTTTGACCAAAGTAAAATGATCCTTACTTCACACTGACAGCATCACTAAATTCTGTGAAGGAAACTGTGACAGACTACAAGGCATCTTACTTAACATTTACTGATTTTTCTTCCACATAAGATTATTAGGAAGACAGGAAGAGAGGACTGCAATGGACCTGGCATGTCACTAAGCTCAATTCCCTGCTTTCAAAAGCACCCACATTAGATAACTGCTTTCATAATTAAGCAAGAGCAGCTCAGAAGTTTGCGGGTCAGCAGTGGCACCAGGCAGACACTGCTGTTTTACCAGCTAAAGCTTTGCTGAGAGCAAGGCCATGAAAAACCTGAAAACAATACTGACAACCAGTTCAGCTGTTTGGTGAACCCAGTGGTGATTAACGAACATAATCTGATCTTCCTTTGTGACATAAAGAAAATCTTTCCCAAGAGAATTCCCAAGTCTTTGAGGACCAAGACCTGCAACAGTCTTCAAGTTCACTTGTAACCCTCTTGTTAAGAGGGCGGCAAAGCATGAGCCTTCAGTAACATGAAAGATCTGGTCACCATGAAAGAGAATAAAAAAACCCACAGCACCATCTTTCTTCTACTTCGGCAAGGGAATTCTTCAGAAGAGAAGATGTGAAATGTTTTATTTTTTCAAACAATATTGAAATATTTATTTAAAAAAAAAAAAAAAAGAGAGAGTCCAGTGAACATTTAGCACACATTCCACTCTGCCTGAGAAACAAAGACAAACATAGCCTTTCAGGACCAGAGTAAGTATGCACAAGGAAAAAAACAAAAAACCCATGGCCCTATTAAGGAAATCCCATTACCTCTAATGCTGGGGTCGACAGCAGGACATGGGTTGACTGAACAACATCTGCAGCATGTATGTTATTGTGATAAGCCACATCTGCATGGTAATGGTCTTCTAGGGTCATCAAGTAAGTTATTAAAGTGTCTACTGGAATCTTAAATGTTTTTAACAAGTCCCGTTCCTAGAAAAGGAAAAAGAGAAACAATGACGATTACAAAGCACAGAAAAAAACATCTGAATGTAGGCAAAAAAGCTGTATGGCTGCTACTTGCCTGAAAAATGGTGTACATGATGACTGTCAAAGGTCTGTTTCCAGATAACTCTGCTACTCTGAAAACGTGAAGGCCCCATTTGTTCACATCTTCTAGTTCCTAGAGCAGAATCAAGCAACAGACAGGCTGAAGCCTAACACGAATTCCAGCGATTTTTGATTGGAACAGCTACAAACAGCAGACTCATGAAGATTCAAACCTTGACACTCTGAAAATTGTATGCTAAACTCAGAAACGGGAGAAAGCTGCTGCTACTAATCCTGAGTGATTTGAATTTGCAGCTACCAACTTTTCAGGTTTTAATTCACTAAGCAGCAAAGAGTGCCTCTTAAGCGGATTGCTCCAGAGGGAAAAATCTTGAATGAGCTGAACTGACACACTTTGCTATCTCCCTGCCCAGTGACAGCAGGGTTCAGTGAGGAGGAAACCTCCAGAGATGCTGTGGTTCTGCTGCTGTCTCCCTGGTTCTCAGAAACACCCTTCAAGTAAAGGGGGAGATTCCTGAAAACGTAAGGAGAAGCACATTTCACAATGCAAAACTCTAAAACTAAACTAGGGAAGCATTTTATGCCAGTCCTAGATTACTGTCAACTAGTCAGCTGCTGGTGCAAAAAATCATAGGAAATACAACCGAAAATAAAACAGAAATGATGTATGTAAAATAATACAGCTAAAGACAGGACCTGGAAGGACAGTTCCAGTGCTATATACCAGTTATACATTTTCAAAACACAGAGGGCTGCTATGTATTTTCATTCCTGTGACAGTATATGGTACGTTTACTCTTCATTCTTTGGGTATTATTTATGAATAAGAAGTTTATTAATGCATATACACACGCTAATTTGCATGCCATATGCAGATGAAACCCTGCTTATGCAGAAATTAACTCTTAGGGCCTGATTCTGATTTTACTTGCTATTCTTCCACTTCCTCAAATTTATCCAATTTCAAGTGAGACCAGCCTCTGGTGCTACAGTTTGAAATCAATGGTCGCAAGCAGAGAATGGAATAATACTGACAAATCCATCCTCTATTTCAATGCAATGGTTTAAATTCAAGGATTTATATATTCTCTACCTTGGCAAGAACATCTTCTTGGTCTGTTTTAACTCCAAATCTGGGAATACTGGAATTAGTCAGGCTGGAGCTGTGCATCAGTTTTTTGACTCCACTGATCTGGGACATTGGCCTCTTCTTTTTCTCTTTCTCTTTCTGCGTCGGAGAAGGGATTTCAACTTCATGTTGCTTGTCTTCAAAATAATTAAGAGAATAATTTTTAAAGGGATTACAAATATTTTTGAACATTTCACTGGAGATTGTCATTCTTAACAATTACAATTTTTTTAAAATTCATTTTTTATGTTTGGAGATTCTGCAGCAGATATCGCTCAATATGAAACAAAAGAAAGATAAACATACACCTACACCTCAGTAAAAGCAGATCTCTATTTCACAAAGCAGAGGGTCAATCCTTTCATTATAAAATTGCTGTTACAATTGAATAGAAATATAAAGTTTAATTTTGTAAGAAAATTTAAAATGTCTTCCTTTTCCAGGAAAAACACTCTGAAATTTCATTTCAAAACCCATCAAGATGGTATCTCATGTAAACCTTTACAAAAGGTTTTCAGGACCTAATACCTGGGGACTGGTCTGTTAATGTTAAGAATCTGTACTCAGAAAGCCCTTTGCCAGCTACATCTACAAGCACTTTGGGTGTAGAGGCAGTTTAAGCCAGGAATGCAGTGCCTTTCTGCACCTCCCAGTCAGAGTAATGCTGACAAAAGGACTGTTTTGTCTCCATAGCAGTATCAGTGGCATCACTTCATATACTGAATCAACACACATGCCAGCAAAACTTTAGAAAAGGATTAAACTGAGAGTAGAAGTATATTTAGGCCACTACCAGCTGATTGCTGCAGAAACAGTATGGGGATGTGGAGCACTGCAGACATCTGTGGTCCCCAAAGAAACCCCAGTTAGTGCAAGACAGGCCTCTCCTGCCAAAACTGTGAGGAGTTTGCATTGTTTTGGGCTTTTTCATACTATATTTCAACATAGAATTTTAATTACTTGCTCCACACTGTCCCTTCTTTGCTGAAATTCTACGAAATGTACCTGCACCTTTTCTAGTCCTTGAGGAATATTCCAGCAAAGCCAGAAAAACTCAGAATTTCTAACATAGTAACCTAACAAAAATTACAATTTAAAAACCACCTTTGAAGAAAGTAAATACATAGGGTTCCCTAAAACATATGCCTATTTTTCCCTTCCTGCAATGGTCGTTTTCAATAAAGATGTTGAAACCAGATAAGGTTAGAAAGTCTGTTTCTAATTCCCAGATTGTTACTGTGTATGCTTCTTCACATTCATTCTTTTTTCCATTTTTTTTTTTTTTTTTTTAAATTACCCTTTAGCATCTGCATTTATTGGCCACCTCGAATTCCAAACAAATTGCAGCGAAGAAGAGACTGGAAATGTCACCACGCTCTAGCCTGCGGCACCGAGTTCCCCGACTGCCCCCGCCATGCTTCACCACTCTCCTCATACAGACAGCCAAGAAAAGGGGGAGGTGGAGCGCTGCAGCTCTTGACTGGTGCAAACCGACAACAGATGAGGAGCAGTGACTCGTGTTCGTGCTTTGATGTTCATGGTTTCAGTCATATGCACAAAGTTTAGACCCATCAAAGGGAGGTTCATAAGCCGAGCTGTCAGGATAACTCAAGTGAAAGGAAGTGTCTGTCTGACCGACTTTAGATCTCCAGAGGAATTCCACGGGACTGCCTCTGCTTTTGTAACTAGGAACACACAGGGCAAAGGATCCTGTGCACATCTGAACATAGAGAAAAGACAGCTTGCCATTTTGACTCTGGTTGTGTTATGCTCATTAGCAGGCTCTCTTACATTTCATAGGAAAACAGGACACTGAGGAATAAAAACCTTGCATATTATTATACTCATATGTAGGAGCCTTAACTGTTACAGAAGGAACGTGTTTGTTGTCACTATGAATAATGTCATATAGACCTACCTGGGAAAACACTCCTTTTCTCTTTCTGAAGAATAAGAATGTAAGAACCTGTTTTCTCATGACACGTTTTTAACTTTGAAATGTGTGAAAGTCTGCAGATCCTCAGGAGATAGATCATGTACTAAATTAACTAACTAGATACATTAGAATTTTCTATGGAGAGAATGTTGGCCCACTTTACATTGTTGCTCAGAACCTCCATACTTCTGAAAATATTCTGAAAATACTCCAATTTAAGCAGTAATTCTGTAGATGAGACATTTTCCCCATCGTATTCCTATTGTACCTACAAGTTTACGTATCCTAGGTTTTCATGCTGCCAAAAAGCAATACCCACGGCTCTGTAACTTTGAAGTGATTGCCTTTACAGCCTTCTTTCTGCTCAAGACTGAGGTCTCAGGTGAAAGGCTGGCATGTAGCTGCTTACCCTGTCAAACTGAGCCTTAAGTTTTCAAGTTAAAGCAAGCAGAAACTGGCATCTCAGTCTTTTCAGCCTAAGTGGGTCATCGTCTCAGGCAACTGTACACTGTGACTTTCAGGGCTCCCGAAGCTGTGCAAAAATGTTTCTCCATGACAGGGGCGCATCCCTTTTTTATTGCCTGAAACTCTGCTGTGCTGCTGCACTCAGGCATGCTACGGCAATCATGGGTAAACTGAACAGTCACATTAAGCGATCCATTTAGGATCTGGTGACAAGCAGGATAAAATGTACTTAAACCCCTCCAATTCTTTCAAAACCCAGAAAACGCACCAGCTATGGCATCCCCCACAAATAAGACAAGTCGTGTCTCAACACGTGTGACTGGCACTTTGTAATGTGGCTGTTATCCTAATTTAGATGTATTCAGCTCTGCATGCCGTTATATGCACAGTCTTTACGAACCAACGGCGTTTTGCTCTAAGCATGATTGAGAATGGTATGTAATCTTTATTTTCATGTTCAAAATCAACAGTATGGAACCAAGTTTTACTCATTTTCAACAGTTCTAGCAAAGAAATACATACTTCGTTCTACAAAGCCACAGAGGAGGAGCCATACTCTGTAATACTGTGTTGGGTTTTTTTTAATGCTCACATCCCACCATGCAAGCTCTTGAGCTGCACAAATTCTCCTGGCAGCAGTCTGTTCAAGATGTTGACTCAGACATACTCATCCACCCGCTCACGTGCAGGCGGGAAATACCAAAGCATCAGAACTGTGCACTACGAGATTTTATGAGGTTAATTGTGCTTGGCAGCTTCCAGCACACTGAAACCTCTTCACAGTAACAGGGAAACAAAATGGAGTAATTATTTTTAATCTGTAATTAATTCATTATATATTCGTTTCTTAATATGGTAGCAATATAGCGGTTGTAATGTTACATGAAAATAGGTATATGACTATTTACTGGTCATTACACACACAGGGAAATGACATACGGAAACTATATGAGCTGTGAAGAAAGGGTTCTAACATGAAATCCCTGCTCAAACACTGAACAATGAGATGCTAAATGTACAGTTTCTGAAAACAGAAATTAATATGGAAAAGTACTTGCTTTTAAATACAGCCCAGAGAGATCAGAGATTTAAAAAGGCAAAAAAAGTTAACTCCCATCATAATCTTACCTAAGAACGTGTTCGATATATATTCTGAGACCTGATTGCCTGACCTGCTCATTTCAGACAGGTGGGTTAGCTCCCGGTTGAGCATTCTTTTAAACTGGAAAACAAAACAAAACAGCGTAAAGTTAGCAATCAAGATGTATTTTAGTTAGGAGGAGAAAATGCAGTCAATTTATAATTGGGGAAAGGACACGACAAACTAAGACAACTATGAAAGCAAAAATCACGTCACATCGCTCTACCCTAATAACTTATTCATGAGTTGAACAACACAATTATTAACCTCCTAACACACTCCATAGTGATTCAATTACTAAAGCACAGGGTTCTGCTAGTAACTGAAAACTATGTCATATTCATACACACTAATAATTAGTATTACTGTCTTCTCAATTTTTAATTTTCATTTAAGAGGAGAAAACGTATTTACCCCTTCTCTACTAGGGTTTTCTTATCAAATTTGTAAATTAATCTATTTGTGCAATGTTTGAAATTCCTGTTGTAACATTTCAAGTTTATCTTACCTCCCATCATTCATCTACTCAAATATATTTGACCGCACTGCTCAGAAAGTGAAAATATCTTACTGATTTCTTATACAACAGTATGAACAGAGGTAGGTTTTGCTGTCTTTGACTTAAAAATATTATACTGGATCAGCCCTGTAAGTTTGACTATTCCACAGTCTCAGAAAATTGTCAGGATCTGTATGAAACCTTTGAGTAGAAAATTCTCATCTGTGGAAACACCTTCCTTTTCCCTCCAAGTTAGCAATTCATTCTAGGTACTCTATAGAAGTGGATATTAACATTCCACAAAATGTGTAATTGATTAGGTACTCATCACTGAGTCTTTCTTGATTCCTTCTGGACTCCAGAGTTAAAAGGTATCTTGTGGCATTGTGGTCGACAGGTTAATTGCATCATACAGCTCTAGCTCTCTTACATGCATTTTCACTGACTAAAGCTCTGCCCTGATATTATCAGCAAATAGAAATCAGCAGTATTTATTAGCAATTCAAACAACTTGTGCCAGTGTAAATCAGCATCCTTCTGCCAGTACTGAATTTTGCCTCCCATTGTGCCATCCTTTCATTTTGCTGTTAGATTTCTCAGTCATCTTTTCTCTTAAAAGACAAATTATTTGTGCCATTTTCAGAATAATCTTTCCCCTTGTTCACCCAGTTATGACTATCTGTTACATCACACAATAGCTATCCTTAGAGGAATGTTTACACGGATATATGCTGTGTTAAAAAGAGTGATTTATTACTCTGTATGAGAAAGCACAAGACTACACATTAACCACCTCCCTTCCATGCCACTGGAATCAAAGCCCTTTCTTCAAAAGAAGCCTTGCCTAATGAAAGGTGTTATTTTCTTCAATGTCTTTGTAAGTCACCAATCATCGTATTGCTCACAGTGTGCCAAATAAAAATTACCTTTAATATAACACTCTAACCATTAGCCACTGCATTTTCCTGCCATCTTGACATGCCGTCAGCTCAGGAAGTTCCTGCTACAAAGGCTGAATCCCACTTTAGCCACAAGCCAAAGGCTCAGCTTTGATCTCAGATACAGCCGTGTGTTAGCAAGTGCTCAACACATTTCTGAAAATTAGAACCATACTGCGAGTAGAGTTACACATACTATGGACTGCAGGGCTATATACATTCTGCACGAAACCTGTATCAAGCTCTATAATGAGTTCTGATGTTTGTCACAAATGTCAAATGTTAAAAAAACAGGTCTAGCTTGCCAAACAGTAAAGAGACTGGTCCAAAAAATCCTAAGAGTATATTAAAAGCCCTTCTTCAAACTTTTAACACACTCTTTAAGTCACACTTGCATGCTTCTGTACCCACGAAAGTGAGAAACTGAATTATTTAAGGCAAAAGCTGAAGATCTCATAGAATGGCTTCTCTCTAGAAGGTATCTAGACACTGAAGCTTTAAATTAAATATTGGGTATAGGAATCTTCGTAAAATGTCAGAAGTTCACAAAATCACATTAACTTCCAGGCCTGTCATCAGTTATATTCTCTTCCTTAATTTAGTTCAGCTAGTTCAACGGATCCCAACTAAATAGGTCCTTGCCTGTTTGTCTCCCAGTAAACCCTTTTAGAGGATGCCCAACTTGGCAATGCTGGTTTTCCTGCAAGGTAACACTGAGGAGCTCTCTGTAAAAATTTCCCAGCTCTGAAAGGAGAACAAACTGACGTTGTTTGCACAATGCTTCTTCTGCAGCTAGCCAACACAACAGATTGGAAGGACTTATTTATTTCCTCCAAATAATATATTTAATTGTGGGGAGTAGGTTTGTTATTGCATACTGGGAATTATCTCGTGGGACTTCTGGAGTATATGTTCTTTAAAAATTTCCAACTAAACATTTATCCTATGGATGTCCACAAAAAAATGGAAGGTGGATGGCAGTCTTTTCCAATGCTATGTTCCCCACGAGGCTGATGCAAAGCCTCCTCTTCCCATCACCCCTTAAGTCACGAGAGTGTAACCTCAGTCATCAGCACAAAACCCGCCGAAGAGCCCTGTTGTTACTGAACATGGGTGTACAGTAAAACAAGTGACCCAGCTTCACGAGGCCCGCCTTCTCAGAGCAATTTCAATGTGAGAAGCCTTTGACTTTGAAGAACTAGCAGCATGATTTCCTTATACTCTCTTGCATGTTGCTGACGCCACAGCAATGAGACTTTAATTGACATTTATTTTGAAAACATCTGGAATAAGCAGTTTAGAGAACTGTTTTGATTTTCTAATTATATGACAAAGCCTTATGACCATCATCCACATTGAAACAGGTGAAGTTGAAGACCATATGCAGACAGCAGTTTCTGATGCAGAACAGTAGTATGCTGAGAATGTAAAATAAACCCCAAGAGATCAGGATCGAAATGTTCAGACATTTTTGTTTCAGTATATCTGTATGTTACTTAATCCTCTGATATTAAATAACTTCTTTGGGGAAAACCCCCTATTTTTCTTCTGAGAAAAAAACTGAAAACATTCCAAAGCCCCTACTTTTTCCTGATTTTACCTATTTAACAAAAGATGTCATTTGGGCCCAAGGGCACCTGTACATAGCTGCAGCTTCAAAGAGTGTCAACTTTCCACATAATTATACAACCCTACACTTAAGAATGAAACTCTACCGAACTCTCATGTGGCTCACGCAAGATCTTACTGCAGATCAGAGAAGTCTGTTGCATCTGTGAATCAGCACCGTTTCAGCCCTCCATCAGAGCCTCTTTAGTGTTTGAAACTTGGCCAGACTGTCCATAGACTCATCATTTGTCTTCTCAGAAATAACATTTAGCACTTTATTCAACGAAAGTCCAACAAGACATGAAACCACCTTGTTGCTAACAGCATATTTTAAAGATAATATTTTAAAACAATATTTTAAAAATCTGAATGCCATCTATGTTTCTAGTTAAAGAAAATAAATCATAACACATCCAAACTTTTGTTACTAATAAGCATTTACACCACATACTTTAATTATGATACTGTCAGCTCAGCATGGGGACAAAGGAGAGGTTTTTGGCTCATCTATACATATATTGTATTCTCTTGGAAAGAAAGACTTTCCCACGTTAAGACTAGGCATTGTTAGGTTGGAAAAATGACATACATATATCCTTTTGGAGATTAGCCACTGACTATAGTCTAGGCAATTCCCCCTGGAAACAGACAGGCTATAAAATGTCCATTAAGCCAATTATGCAGTTCTCCATGGCTGAATACTGATGTCACAGCAACAGAGCAGTGAAATGTTTTCTGAAAAAATATCCTAAAAATATTTCCTTACGCATAATTTGTTCACTTGTTTCTAACGATTTTAATACTTTTATTTTACTCTCAGCATGGAGGGGTCGATGGGACACCATAACACACAGAGGCACAATATTCAAATAACATTAAAAGTCTCCCAAAGTGACAAAATCAAATGTGCACTTTTACTGCCGTTTAAAAACCCAGGAAGTCTGACAGAAGGAAAACTCTTAATACAGGATGAGACAAGAACAGTTTCCTGAGTAGTAGTCACCTCCAAAGAACAGGTGAAATGAGGGATTAAGTCTAGGTTCTTCCGTGCTGAAGCCTCCAGTGTGTGCATATGTCTGCAGATATATTACTGCTGTCAACCAAGGATAAATATATGTGGAGTTTTGGGGAAAAATAGAGTATTTTTCTGATGTCAGCAAATGTACATAGAAAAATTTAGCCAAACTTTTCCAGCAGCCATGTTCCCAAATGGCAACCAGAGCACTGATATAATTTTGGGAGGACTCTGCATCTATACATTTCATGTTCAGCTCCAAAGACATGGACAAGATCCAGCTAGAGTCAATTCATGGCCACGATAAAGTTGGGGCTGCATGCTTAATATATACTGGACTTAATGATTACACTTTAGAACATTTTACATTTTTTGCATAAAGTTCTTGACTTAACAACAGAAAGCTTAAGTGAATATGCAGCCTGCACTCAGTTGTGTTGGAAGAAGAAGCATGCAAAACCACCCTTGGTGTAGATGCCCTGTCCTGGTAGAACCTCTTCCACCTAGGCTTTCTGCTCCTGAACGGGTGATCTGTTGCATCCCAGGGACTGTAAAGAGGCTGATTCCACTACAACCTTTAGCACCAGCACAGAAGGTGAAGGTAGGGCTAGAAGGTAGTCTATGGGCCAAATCCTGCTTGTCCTTCAGCTTGAGTGTTAATCAAGCTCCAAGCCCAGTGGAGGCTGAAACCAAAATGCTCAAGAGCATCTGCAGCCTTTTACTGCACTGGCTCTCAAATCCTCAGGGCAACAGATCCCAGTTTAAACCTTTCTGGCTGCCACTTTTCTAGGTAATGTTTCTGAAAGCTTAGATTAATAGAATACATCCATGGAACATGTATTCAATAACTGAAACATTGAAATTCCATGAATATTTTGTTTCTGAAGTATTTACCAGTGTTATTTTAAAATGTTTGTAACTAAGAAAACCCCAAAAACCTGTATTGTTTTACTGGATATGAAAAGCAGTGTATTCTACAAAAACGTAACAAGAACTGAACACAGGCCAGCCTTACAAATTAATGTAAGGTTTGTGTTTATATTGCTTACCAATGCAAAACTATGTTTGATTACAGCAGCACTCTTCATAAACAGCATTCTTAATAACTAAAGGTTTGGGTTGGAAGCCCCTGTGTTTAATTACCATCAAGGGCACACACTGGGTTTTATATGTAAGGTGAGGTACATACCTCTAAGCCTGGCATTGTGATAGTGGTGCTCATTGTTTCAAGGAAAGATAGGGTAAGTACTCCACATGACAAGATGCGATTAACGGAAGATAATAAAGTACAGTCTGAAGCATACAGAAATTACAGAAATATGAGTAGTAAGGGATGTAAACAGATACAATGATCTGAGACTAACATGCTTCATTCTTCCTCAGAATTTCATAAATACCCTAACTCATTCTGTTCTGAATGTCTGAAAAAGCAGATCTTTGCCTCTCTTCACATTGTTCCCATAATGTGCATTCCGTGAACTCAAAAAGCACTGTACTAAAATTGCGTTCAAGTACTATTTAGCTTCTTAACTAAAATAATTGTCTATAGACAGTATAGGACACTGTCTATATCAAGGACATTTTTTTTTTTACATGTGTAATCAATTACAGATACCATGCTCTCTGCTGAACTCCAATTAGCATAAAATCTATCCACTTCAAAGGCTAAGCAGCAAGAGTGAATGATTTTTGATGATTGGTGAACAAATTCTTCTGATTTAACAAGTATGAACACGACAGCAGCTGCCTGGAAATGCAGGAAATACTTTCAAGTAAATTACAATAAACACCTTACTTTCAGTTGAATAGAAAGTAATTTAATCTTATTTTTTGGTAAACGTGAAAAGAATACACCTAGCCAGCATAATGGGATCCAATTTCTTCACAGATGACTGATCAGAATCCTTGAGAATAGACTGTAACAATTCTGCACTAGCAGAGAATGGTCACAATGACCTAATCGACACGATGACCTGATGAGGATTTTACACTTCTATTTAAAAAAACCATATCTATGATAAACGCAGGTATTAATACAAGCAAGCATAAGACATTCAGTTATGTGTGAATATAACGCCTGTATTATTTTTTGTCATTTAATTCAATGCTTGCATTATTTAGTTCAAGAGAAATCAGAATTTTCTTTAAAAGAGGATGATTTGGAACAGTTATTGTATGTCACACATAGAATGATGTTCTTTTTTTACATACTTGGTAACAATTATAAAGGCAACATCATTTTTCAAAGCACAAACACCTAAGTAGGGCTAAAATAATACCCAGATATGGTTCTGTATTAAGTGAATGTCAATTCTGTATGTAGACAGGCATATTGATTTAATTCCTTGGTGCAAAACATTCCCATAAAAAGAGATAAACGCTTATTTAATTCCATTTTCTGGCAGTACTGCAGTTTCAAGCTAGTTCAAAACTGCCCTACATAATAATGCAGATCAATATTAGAAGATGACAATTTCCAGTGTTTAATCAATAAGCTGTCACACACAGAGAGGCTACAAAGAATGTTGCTGGAACATACTGTTGATAATTTCACATTTCTTCAGCTATTGAAACCACTGTAAGTCACGCATTCACCCATTATCCTCAGCCTCTTTACTCATGCTCTCTCCTACTGTATGATATCTCAGCTTTGATTTTTTTAAAAAAATCTTTTAATGTCTAGAAATACAGTTTTGTAGCAATGTTTTTTAAAAAAGAACACAAAACTCTTCTGAATTTCTTTGGCTTTAGACTTGGTCTGATTACCCACTGAAGCAACATCATTTTAAAAGTCTTAGCACAGTTTCTACGACAGACTGTATACTGTGCAGTTCATTCTCACTGCTGAACAAATGCTTGCTTTTCTGATTTTTTACTTTAGATTCATAGTCACATCACCCACAAACACTCATGCCATCCAGTGATCAGGCAATCATGAACCACAAATCAAGGTAAAAGAAAATCCTACCTTTATGTAGCCCCAAGAAACTGAGAGTAAATAGTTTGCCTCAGGCATTTTTCCTTTCTTTTCTATACTACTAATGTAAGATAATCAGTTCTTCGCTATCTGATACTGCGAAAGACTTCTAAGAAGAAAGATTCCTTCTTTTCTCTCCTAATTCTTTTTGCTGATCTTCAGGTCCGCAGCAACTGCGAGCACTGGAGGCATACTGAAATGAAATCCAACCGCGTGGTCTTCCGATCGTATAAATTCCATTTGTAAAACTCCAAGCATTCAGAGACAACGCTGAAGAGACATATTGTACAAGCTGAAGAAGTATCTGAAGAGCTAGGGATATGCATATTTCCTGAACACAAGGACTTAATGAATAATGTATGTCAAGATGCTCAGCTGCTGGAAGGACTTGCTCTATCAACAGCTACCAAATAAGGACCTGAAGGGGAAGCCACAATCAGTGCCAGTAATCCCTCCCACAGGGCCTAACTAGCAGCCAATAGTATGTCACCCTAAAAGATAAAAATCCGAGGGGCTGGTGACATGATGCACATTAATTTCCCATTGGCCAGCACTGGGGACTCTCCTCGGCATGGAGTATTTTTTTTTTTTTTTTTAATAGCAAATGCCACTTAATAATGGCATCCCTGCCTGCAGCACTGACACACCATTCAAAAATAATTGAGTTAAGGCCTCTGCCTTTCAGCAGCATTTACCAGCTCTCTTCAATGGACATGCCATTCAAGCAGTTTAAATTAGTATTGTGTATATTCATGTGGGCCGCCCAGCAGTTTTAATTTTTCATATGGAAGGGAAGTATATTTTGAGGGTTTTGAAGATATTTAAAAAAAAAAGACAACAGAAATACAGCTATCGGGTTTCTTGAGCAGTCTGATGCACTGTAACAATGAAAATGTTTTTGGCTTTGATGCCATCCTGGATTAAAAACTGATCTACTGAGACCAGTGGCCCACTCTGCCAGTTTCTACTGCTTATTTATTTTCAGAGATAAAAGCAGTTATTATTAAGATAAAGCAAGTCATGGGTTTTAAAAAACCCAGTAAACATTAAGTTACCATGGAGAAGTCAGAAATGAGATCACGAGTCCTCAAATTTGCAATGTATTTATTCAACTTTTGCTCCTTGTGCCTTGACAGATTAATATAATCAATTACAGCTATACATCACAAAGGGATTCATTGAAAGTGAAGTGTGCCAGTGAGCTGACTCAGAGCATTAAATAAAATATCCCACCATCTGCCTTTCAGAGACCAAAACTAAAAAGGAGGAATGCATTATCTTGCACCACTGTGCAATGCATATGCACTTCTGCGGCAAATTTCTGAGTCTTTGGTTTTAGCAAAAGCAGGGAGAGTTTTCCAATATGACAATGGGAAATGCCTAAGGACAAGCTGAATGAGGTGCAGTGTTCAGCCTAAGCCCACACTGCTGATTCACTAGAAGATGCTGACTGAAAACGGTCATAAGGGTTTTGGCTGAAGTGGTTTCTACTTCTCTGGGTGATGCCACACAGCAATGTCAGCAACACTAAGTGCTTGAGAAAGAATTGAACCTGAAAAAATCAATAGGACAAAATACAACATGAACAAATTTCTTCCTTACAGGAGAGAAGTATACAGCAAAGTGACAACCAGACACAGTCAACAGATCATCCTGCACTCAGGTATTTTCATATGGAAAGCATATTGCCTTCCTTAAAACAGGCAATGCAGAAAACGTGTGGATCAACATATCACAGATGCATTTTCTGTATAATATGCAGTTATACCTGTCCTGGATCTATACAGGCAGAGGAATATAAAGCAATCAAGTTCTGAAAACAGGCCTGGGTCATTAGAGACTCAGCAAGACATTAAAATAGCCTAAAAAGAATTCCTGGAAAATATTTCTCTTGATTCTTCCAGCTCAGCTTTTTAATGCTGAATATAAAGCCTGTCTGCATCTGTGTTGCACTGCTTTCTGATCAACTGCAAGAGAGTACTGCTGCCACCTACCCAAGCATTAACACTGAGAAACTGAGAACTGAAAATATGCTGCTCCCCTTCAGAAGGCAATTTCAAACATGATTTAGAAAATGGTAAAATAACAGCCTTTACACATTATACTGGCTGCTTAAGAAGTGAAACATGTGGGTATGAAAGTCTGGTTGCAATAGGTAGAAGTAGTACAAACACACATTGGAAAGCCAAGTTTTTAAATCACTTGTCTT